GAGCATGAAACTGAGCAAACTCAGGGAGGCAGTGAAGGACAGGAAGACCTGGTGCAATATGATTCATGGGGTCACGAAGAGTCCAACACGACTTAATGACTGAACAACAACAAAAATGAAACCAGGACCTTTACTCTACACAATCTTGCAAGCCAACATATTGTTGCCCACATCCCACCAACTAGGATGAATTGACACACTAAAGTTATATTTGACATTAAAAAAAAAAAAAGATTAAACATTTGACATGTTTTATTACTAATCTTAGAATTTTTTGAAATTTCATGACAGGTTGCTGCACAGTGACAGATTTGGAACAGCTTTTTTTAAAATGGAATTTGGAATGTTTTAATGTTTTATATTTTCAAAAGAAATTGACATTTCAAGTTCAAAAACCAGCCCAAATAAACATATTTATGGAAAAGGACATTCCAAAAATATGTATTTATCATCTTAAAGAAAGAGTAGGAATATTCTTGAGGTCATTGGAAAATTAATTTCTGGACATAATCAGATGTGAGCTACAGGAAGTGGGTGAAAGAGATAAACGATTATCAAAACAACCACTAAGATTTTTTTATTCTTGATATAAATGAGAAAATAGTAAATATTGGGAAAGAGACAGAAAGACAGAAGGAAGAGGAAAAGAGATAACTATGAAGGAATTAGCTCAAATCTTGTTATAAAATGATAGAATAATAAAAAGAGAAATAAACTACCCTGAATGCATTGACAGAAATATAAGAATTAAATGTATTGAATACACCTAACTCAAAGAGGAAGCATTTCAAAGAAAGGTTGATAGCCAATGTTTAACAAACTACATGAATTACAAAATAGAGAAAAAACAATATAATCAAGAGACAAAACATAAAAGACAGTCCAAAGACCATGGTTATCAAAGGGTTCAACCTCTGTGCTGTGAGCAAGCCCAACGAATACTCTTCAAGAATGTCTTTTCTGACTGAACATGCCTATGATTGCACTGAGGATTAGAAAGAATATGATTGCAATCTTCTCTGCCCCTACTGAGCCAGGCAAAATTCCTGCCTGATAGTGCAAAACAAACAAGCAAATAAACCCAAGGATTCAAAAAGAATAATTCAAATTCTGAAAAAAAGGTAACAGGAATTAGGAAGACGATAAATAATAGCAGTGTATAGATTAGATAAAGAAAGAATCTTAAAAAATAGAAAATACAGCAAAACACAGAGAATCCGTATACATTTTTCCTTGACTTAAATACTGATCCATCAAAAGACTAAGAAAAGAAGATCCATCTGAGGGGAAAAAACCAAGTTTCTTACCACTACCAATTTTTTTTCTTTAACATTTGTTCTCTGGAAGAAAAGGTCTAGGAAAAGACAGGAAGATTATAAATGGAGGATGATTTTTTTCCATATCAGTTGTAAAAATCATTTGAACTTATGATTGAGTGACTGAATTGACTGTATGATTGACAAGGTTTTGTTAGTACAAGTTAAAAAAAAACTAAGAAAGAAAAGGATGCCGAATCAGAGTAGTTATCAAATGCTGCTAGTAAACAAAACAAACAATGTCACAGCAACAATGGAGACAGTGTAAAGAAACAGTGTAAAATCAAGATCTGGAGAAATATTTAGAGGTAGGAGATGAAAAATAACAAGCAACGTGCTTGAAAACAAAGGAGCCCAGAAATGAGAAAGTGGTTTTACTGAGACCCCAAGACGTGGAACATTCAATCAAGGCTGATAGGTCTTTCTTGTGCTTTCTAAGGAAGTGCTATTATAGCTAAGACCCTTTAGCCTAATGAAATAGTAATGAAATAGTAATCTTTCCCTAAAAAATTCATGGCAGACAGAGTAATGCCACGAGATTTGGAGTAGCTATGTTCCCTACATTTACTAGCCTTCCAGGATCAACCCATCTACCTGAAGCAGAACTACTTCAATATTGCCACCCCCTTTCTAACACTTTAATATATGTTGCTGTTCTTTAAAGTGTGTCAGACTGCAGTTCCTGCCTTTTCACCTATCCCTGTGTCACATTCCAGTAATGCAGGTTGTTTCATTATTTGCAAGCAATGTATTGCATGATCTCAGTATGTAGTAAATGACTACATTCAGTCTCATGGCCCTGGAAAACATGGAGTAACCCCAAATAATCAGACATGTAAAACACCTATCAGGGTTTGGCATTTTTTTTCTCATAAAAAGTCTACAATATGCAACTATTTCTGTAGTAGATACTTTCATTATTTAAGGCATGCTATTCCAGAATTCACAGGTATTTGGGGTTGTACTTTTGGATACACACCCTTACTGTTAAAGCAGAGTTTGAGTAAAAGACCTTTTGGCTCATTCTGAAAGCACTAGAGTGCCTAAAATCTCAATAGAAAGTATTAAAACTCATTAAGTTTGAGTCACAAAAACTCATTTTCATATTAAAAACATAAAAGGATATTGCAATTAATCTAGCTCTCCAATGCATTATCTACCAAGAATTCTGGCACAACTTCTATTTTCCTTGCATCTTATATGTTAAAAGAATAACATACAAGTATAAAGTATAAAAGTCTTTTTCATTGCAAGCAGAACTCATTTTCAACACTTGTATATAATTTGAAAAGTAATTCCCTTTTCTAATGTTGTTCTTTGCTTTTCAAAGGAATCCTCCACTGGAGTCAATGGGAGTTTCACCTGAAAAATGATGCAATCATGGTAAGGAGAAAATGAGAAAATTGCTCATTTCCTGAGCCGCTCAGGCATACCTAGTTTGGTGCTTATATAGCATTTTGGCAGCATCTGTGGTGACCTTTGGTTCCCTGCAGCCTCTGGGAACTTTTTGTTCTGGCTTTTGTTTTTGTGGTCCTGGAGCCCGTGAGATTGCATTGCTCAAATTTAGCCAAAAAACAAACACACACTCTGGATGATTTTCTTTGGAAATCAACCCTACACACATCAGCTTTCTGTGCCTGTAAATCTATTGATTTGCTAGGGGTGGATGTTGAAGAGGGCAGTAGAGGGACTTGATGCTTTTATCTCCTTCTCTGTATAAAAAGCTTTGCATTTCTGAACGTAACATGCCTCCTGTTGGTTAGACAGATATTCTCGGGTCTTTTATTAGTTTCTTCCTCCCTCAGTTTACTCTTCTTTCTCTTTCATTTACTCTAACCTGTGTGGTTCAGGAACTGACCTGACTTGCCCTCTCTCCATAGTGGAAGGGAGCACATTGTACACTCTTAGCTATAGGTACACTTAAGTAACTTGGGTTTCCTACCACATTATTTCCTAAATAAAGCTTGCCTTTCTTTTTGCATACAAACACCAGTCTCAAGAATACTTTTTTATAAATTGTATATTCCTAACTGTTTTCTTTTTCCATGCATTGTTTCCTCTGTATAAAGCTATTGGCTATCCAACAGTTTTGGCAGCTTTTCTTTAAAATTAGATATAAAATAGGTATGCTAAACTTCCAATAGTCTAAATAAATCTCTATTACTTTAATATTTCTAAAAACAGGTTCCTGGAAAGAAATAACTTCAGATCATGGAATACCTTCTAATGCCATTTTCAGCTGGGAGGGAAGAAAGAAGTCTGACTTAAGGCACAAAAAAATTGCATGTTCTCTCCTTAAGTTACTTTAATAACACAAACATTTGTGTTTTAGCGTTACAAACGCTAACTTTAGCATCCTGGACTGCAGAAATGGGCTCCACCATAACTTTCTGACAGATGGAGAGCTCATTATCAACTTTTCACCATAACAAGTCCTTGATTAATAGAACTTGGTGTACAGGGACATACGGATCTTGACATGAAGAGCTGGTACCAATGAAAAATCAGCCAGAAACGAGGACTTGAGCAATGAAGGAAACAAGTGGTCCTAATTTTGTTTAAAGGCAAAACTGCCAAGATTATTCAAAACAGCATGTTTTCTAACATGATGAAGAAAAACAGAATAAGTTGCTTTACAATAGCATTTTGTTTTTTTTACTAGACCAATCTCTGTCTCCACAACATACGTTTTTACTTCTCCCACACTTCACAGCCTCAATCAATATGCCTGTCTCAGAGGTTTTTATTTTATATAAAATTACACTTGCTGAGCAAGCCTATTTGCAATACAAAATTTGAAGAGAAATATCAACACTGACATTGCAACAAAGCATTTACCGCATTTTGGCCTTGGCTATAATGAAAATCAGGTAAATAAATAATCTGGGTACCATAAAATATCAGTTGGCCTCTGGCCATGTTCTTTCCTCTCACATTTTCAGCCACACATTCGTACATGCCAGCATCTTCCTGTTGAAAGTTTGGGATTTCTAGAATGCTGCTTGATTTGTGTCTCCGAGCTTTTTTGGGGATTTGTTTTCCATCTGTTCTTCTCCAGCTGATTGTAGGAACTGGGCTATTTATGAACAATAAAGAAAATAAAACATGGTGGTAAAGGCTATGTAATTTTAAATGAATTATGACAGACATATACTGACAATTTCTAGGTTAACAATTTCATTATATGATAATCAAAACTTAGATCAGCCCTTCCCAACCTCTGATTATATTGAATGGAAATTCTGGGAATACCAGAAGGTGCCAGATTGGGAAAATCTGACCGACATCTTCAATTACTTATCTTTGTCAACAGAAGAGAATATCTGTAACTCAGGGTTGAACTGTGGCATCCTTGGTGTTTTCTGAGCTTGGTTGTTTTCTTGCAGATGTTTCATTACCTGACTAGGTAACATCTTCAGATATAGAAGGGAGTGGGTTTTGTTCTCTGTTTATACATAGTAGTGTCAGGACCAATCCAAGACCAGCAGGGAAACAGTTCATCCAAAGTCAGTTCTTTTATTGCTTACACCATATAGGTAGAATCTTGCAAGACTAAATCTGTACTACCCTGGGAGATTCTAGGGAGTGGCTATCCTAAACCTCTTACACTTCCCATGATCCAGCTCTGGACTGTGTTGTCTTTTGTCTCCCTGCCCTTCCTAGAATGCACCCCCTCCTTCCTGATAACATTGCTCTCTACTACAATACACCACATCTAGCTTGCCTTGTCAGTGTTGCTAAGGGTGTTGTTTTCTCCTTGGTAGTTACCTGATTAGGCTGTTGTTTACTGCTTGATTGTTTGTCTGAGTTGGTAGTTCCTTGATAAGGATGTTTACTGCTTCATTGTTTGTCTGGTGTTAATCCTGGTGATAATCCCTGCTTACCTGGGTGTTGATTGCCGGTGAGGAGATGTTCTGGTCTTTTTGATTTCTTTTTAGCTTTTTTATTGCCTCTTTTGAATGGTGTGTAAATGTTGTTTATCTCTACGTACCAGTAACATACGAGGGACCCCAACATACAACACAGTGAAAGAATTTACAAAAACTTTTGGACACCTCACAGAGGGGAGCTAATATTCTATCAACTCCCCACTACAATGCCTCCAGAAAATCAAAGACCTAAAACAGATGAAGATGAAATTATGGTTTCATTTGATGTCACAGCAAACTTTATATCCATAGACCCAGAACAAGCAAAAGAATCCATGCCAGCAGTACTACACAATACACCCAACCTAACCAAATACACCAAGATTGAAATACTCAGAATCATGGACCTCATCAAACTCTGCCTCACTACCTACTTTCAGTTTGATGGACAAATATACCAACAAATCAGAGGCACACCGATGGGATTACCACTCTCCAGACTCATAGCACAGACTGTAATGCAGCATCTAGAAACTATAGCACTCCCATGCATACAACCAAAAGTATGGATCTAGTATGTAGATGACACCTTCATCATAATAAAAAAGGAACAACTAGAGAAAACACATGAAACAATCAACAACATCTTCAAAGGAATAAAATTCACAAAAGAAGAAGAAAACAACCCTTCTTGGATATCCACATTAGTAGAGGAAATGATGGCAAATTAGAAACCAAGTTTATTGAAAAACAACCCATGCTAACCAAGTGCTCCATTACCAAAGTAACAACCCAACCTCCCACAACAGGAGCTGTGAAAGAACATTATCCAGACAAGCACAAACATACTGCAGCAACCCAGAACACCAGAGAAAGGAAACAGACCACCTATACAACATCTTTCAACAAAATGGATACCCACACAACTATCAAAAAGTGCCTGACCACTCAATCCACTACAGTACAACCAACACAAGCTATGAATTGGATTACACTGCCATACATCAGAAACATCTCAGAAACAACCAACAGACTATTACAACCACATAGCATCTCTGTAGCACACAAACCAACTAAA